CATCCATCCATCCATCCATCATCCATCCATCCATCCATCCATCCATCCATCCATCCATCCATCCATCCATCCATCCATCCATCCATCCATCCATCCATCACCTGTTCTCTCTGTTTGGGTTGAGCAGCCAGGGTTCTCAGCACGGAGCGAGCAGAGGTTAAAATTTTGCTCCGTGGATCTTTTAATAACTTTGCCACAGCATGGAGTCCTTCCCTCTTCAGGCTGCACTCTGCAGGTCTGTGTAGAGAACTCATGATCACGTCCTGGTCTCCTGATGACAGGTTATGCACCAGCCACACTGTTGGAAGGTTAGTGATCATTAATGTTATTTCATTTGTGTCTCCTGTATTTACTCAGTGTTATTAACAACCAAGGATTGTACACAAGGTGGACACGGTTTGTTGATTGTGTTTCTGTGTATTTTGATGTGTACCTTCTTCTGCTAGCTCAGTGATGTGTGTCTCTAAATCACTAACACTATTAGACTCCAGGTAACTCCACAGCTGGAACACCGTCACCATCAGTCTGTCCCTGTTGCCTCGCCGAGGAAACTTCTGGTCCAAAACTTTCTCAACCAGGCACAAGAGCACTGAGAAAACATGGAACCATTAGTAACATGGAACATACTGCTGTAGACACGATCACACACACGTGTCATTGTACCTGGGTCTGCTCTCTCGCGTAACATGCTGGAGTAGATTTTAGACAGCGTCATTAAAAACGTGTCAGCAGGGACACAGAACATGCTGCCATGCTCCACACACAGCTGCCAGAGTGGCACAGCACCAAGACACAGACCCAGCTCTGGTACCACTGCAAGACAGAGAGCAGGTCAAGAACTAGTGAATCTGCCAATTTGGTCTTCTGTAAAAATGTAATGCTGTGTAATGTTACACAATCTAACTTTTGAATCTTCTTCTTACACCAGAGTTAGTCATGGAGTTCCTCAGGGTTGAGTGCTTGGACAAATCCTCTTTACTTTATATATGTTTCCATTAGGTAAAGTTATTAAACAACATGGGATAAATTTCCATTTTCCATCAGTTACTTAAACTCCAAGCATGTCTTAATGACATAAAAACCTAGATGACTCTTAACTTTCTGCTTCTAAACTCAGATAAGACAGAGGTTATGGTTTTTGGACCTGAACATCTTAGGGATYAACTTTGCAGCCTTTCACCTCCTCTGGATRGCATTAATCTGGCCTCCAGTTCTAATGTAAAGAACCTTGGTGTTATTTTTGATCAGGGTGTCTTTTAACCCTCACATTAGAAATGTTACCAGGACTGCCTTCTTCCACCTGCGTAATATCACTAAAATTAGAAACATTGGGCCTCATGCAAGAACCGTTCGTACGCACAGTTGATCAGGTCTCGGTGGCAGCAACAAAGAGACCCCCTCTCCCCAGCGACACCTTCCAGCTCATCCTGGGGGGCTCAAGAC